TTTACCAGAGTGTTTTTAAACTGCAGTATCTATACTTCTACTTAAGTAACAATTGTGTGTACTTTTGACACCACTGTCCTACTATGACTAAAGCAAGAATTGCAACACCTCAATTTTAAAATCCTTGTTAAAATATTGCTGCTATGTAAACGCTGTTATGATCCTGTAATCATAGGAAATGTATTTAGTTTTATGTCTTCATTTCAGGGGTCAGTAGAGGCACTTGTCGCCCATGCTCTTAAGTATTTCTCAGATGATCTTATCCTTCCATCTTACATCTATGGAATGCTCTCTCATTACATCCCATTAACAAACATTGAAGTTTTTTTCTGGTTGCATACAAATATTTGAAAACGTTGAAGTTTTTTGTTTAGCAAATTATGGTCTTAGTGCAGCAGGTTTTTTGTCAGGACAAAACAGCTTTTTTTTTTTTTTTTCAAAGTAAGGTTGCAGTTTTACGGTCTGTTTTGGGGATTTTTTATTTCCCTTCCAATTCTTGTGAAAGTCAGTGTCAAGGGAGCTGTAACAGCCCTTTTGTTTATTCAAGTCCGGTATGTCTACATGCTTTTGAGCGTGGGATGACTGCTCATCTGAAAACCAGAGAATTCCATTCATGACCAAGCCTTCTTCATTGCTAGACAAATGGGAGGTCTGACCCAGTGGGTGTGTCCATAAATGCAAAAAATCTATTACTCTGCAAGTCTGTCAGGCAGATCAGTATGAATGGTGGAGCTGCAACGGAGCAGGCAGGCTGGTAAAGTAGTCATGGTTAGGCAAAAATGGGACAGAGAGGAAGAAAGCGCGCAAATGTTTTATGAGCTGGAGCTCATGTTCAGGGGGATTTTTATTCTGAGCTGCAGAAGTTTGAAAGTGAAAGACATTGTGTCAGGTTATGCTGGTGTAAATGCGCACTTCGCAAAAGTTGGCTGACATGTATGAAAAAAACACACACTACAGAAAAACCAGCAAAGATGTGCAAAAGTTGCGCCAGATCACCAGTGACTCGAGGTAAGTCTGTGAGCTCAATTTTGTTCTATGAATTAAACGCATAAAAAGTTCAGATAAGTGCTGCACAGCTGTGTGGTCCCTTCAAAGCCTAAATGAGGAAGCAGTTTCTGCCTGGGACTTTGAAGATGCATTCAGCTGACTTGATTTAATTTTTTTTTTTTTTTTTTTTTTTTTTGCTGCAACTTAATAGCAGTTTCAGCTATTTTATATTATTTGCACTTGACAGTCAGAGATGGATTTTAGAAAAGCTGAAAGGTTTTGGAGGCCGTGCAGCGCTCACTCATGCGTATTGGGCGGTTTGCAGAGATAAAAGGAAGTGTGCGGTGTCATGTCAGACAGAGATAGTAAGCCGGGCTTCCTCTTCCTTTTTTATTTTTTAAAAAACTTTATTGAATGGCCTGACCTGAAGCGTTATATGGCTCAACACAATGCAGCAAACACCAAACCATTTTCATTCATCTCATATATAAATATATATATATATATATATATATATATATATATATATATATATATATTAGTAGGAACTGTATTATAAAGCGACGTCATACTGTCTATTTTGGTAGGCGAGCGTCACCTCCTGGGAAAGCTCAGATCGGAATGCACAGGGCGTCTCCTACGTGAAAATCCATTCTCCGGTTGCTTGGAAACTGGTGCGTTCACGGAATTCAGGAAATACTTGAAGTTATTCTATGAGCTTAAAGTAGAACTTCCAAAAGCTGCATTCATACGTCACTATTCACTCTACTTCTACTCCGCCCTTCACAAAATAGCGGCAAAGAACAATCCTGTGGTGGTACAGAAATCAGCTGAAGCTCTATTTGATGTTGGCTGCAAGATATGTTTATGGCCGCATAAAAGATGAAAGCAAATACAGACCTTATTTGTCATATGGCAAATTCTGTAGGTGAAGGAAAACTAACATTCAGTATTGTGGTACAACATCAACCACTATGGACACGATGGTGGCAGCATGATGCTATGTTACTGTATGCTTTTTATTTATTTTTTTAACTCCACTCTCATATTTTTGTCATATGAGCTCATATGTTCCAGCTAATTTTAACAGTTTAAGGTTTCAAATCGCAGCCATCTGTGTTGAAAGAATGAGATGGAGTAAGTCGTGTGGGATAAAACATAATAATGCTGCTGCTGTGCGTGAATTCATACCTGCCAGTCTGCTCAGCTATCAGTTATACCCTGAGGCCTATGTGAGTTAAATTTCACTGCAAGTATATCTGTATTTTCTATAGATCTCTGTATGCAGACTAGCGGTGAGTATTGGCATGGGTGTTGTGATACAGTATCTCTCCCAATACTTGGGTCACAATACAATATTACCACAATATTGCAATTTCAATGGAGATGGAAATAATCATGAGAGCTGTACAAAACAAAATTTCGTTTAGTATACACTCTGTGTATACAAAAAAAATCTATATTATATCAGGCAGCCAAATATCACGGTATATCACCAGATCTAATTTCTTTCTCACACCCCTAATGCAGATCAGATTTTTAGAAGAGTGCTCTGTGGGCCTCTACACCTAAAATAAAACTATGCTCAAAGGGTTGTAGTTCTGGCGTAGTGGGTTAGAACAGTGCGCTTGTGCAATAAGAAGGTACCCAGTTCAATCCCCTCAGCCTCCACTCTGGGTTTCTAAACAAGCCCCTTAACCCACCGAGTGCTTCCTGGGAGCTGCACAATGTGGCCCACTGCTCCCCAAGGGGATGGGTTAAATGCAGAGCCTTAATTTCTCCATTGTGAGATCAATGAAGTTCAATCTCTTTTTTTCTTTTCTATCAGATAGGAAGCAAAGAAAACGATAGGTTAGATTGATCCCAAGCTGTTATTTTGAATAACAGATTGGGATTGCTTATAAAGTCCAAGCAGGTCTGGTTTATAGATGTTGAATTTTTTTTCTTTCTTGGAGGCACAGTAAGAAGTTATGGCTCTTTAGCTACAGTGGCACGGGGGTGAAAATGCTATGCAAAACAAGGAATTCAGAGCATATTTAAAAAGTACTGCAAACTCAAAAATTAGAACAACAAAGATGCAAAGTACAAACATGGTGTTAACACAAAACCCCCTCCAAATACACATGATGCTAACACAATATGTCTAAAGGAAAGAATCCTGCAATCAAAAACAACTGCAAGTCAAGAAAAGCTGCAAACCTCATAATGGATGTCCTCCAGACCACTAGGGGGAGGCAACAATCATAGACTCTCATGGGAACGGACCCTTAGTAAAGCATAAATGGGATGCTCAGAGAGATAAAGCTTTTGCAAAAGATGAAGAGGATAACTTACGTTTTCTTTCTCCCCTATTCTAACCAATCCCGTTTGTTTTTGTTAAACATCTGGTCCACAGACATTTTGCAAGTCTTATTTTTGTGTTTGCAGGACTTTTTGAATTTTCTGCAAATTTGTGTATTTGCATGGCATTTGCATCCCTCGGCTGCCATATATAACACTTAATTCCCTTCCCATCTCTTCTTATTTCAAAAGCAAAAAGATGTTACTTCCACGCCTTTTCTGGAATTTGCACTGACTTTGTATAAGTTATAAAGTGTAATAGCTGTGAAATTATTTATTGAAGTTTTTATATATTTTCAGAAATCAGATATTGTTTTTATGACATCAACAGACTCCTAGTGATTGGAGCTTCTGTTCGCTGTTAGCAGACATGTGAACAGCCCTGTTTTAGACCCCACAATGCAAAGCTCACAAGAAACATCAGGGTAGAATAAGAGTTACTTGGAGAATGAGTTACAAGGCTGCTTAAATTATGAAAAAAATATCCTGTTTGCTATTTGTTTGCAGCTGCAAGAAGTTGTTTGACTCGTTGTAAAAATATAATAATAATAAAAATAATAAACGTGGACTTTCCTGACTTTTGCCTTTGCCTGAACAGAATAATATCTATCTCACAATACAGGAGCTGTTTGTGGTCCAAGCTAATGTCATGAGCTCTGGGTTGGATAGGGAATGCTTTAAGTTTGAAATCTTGTAAATGTGTATGAGACTTTTAATTTGAAATAAGGCAGGATGTGGAAAAGGATGCAAAAAAAAAAAAAAAAACCATGGCTGGTTAATGTTTTATTCTAACTATACTAAAGTTAGAATCAGGAACAGAGATTTCAATTGACGGCAATCTGCTATTTCACCACATCTGAATGGCAGTTTTGCTCCTGTGGTTAAAAACCTAAAATAAATACGGTGATATTGATTGATCCTGATCCCTTTTATCAGTAAACGGTACAAAGATTCGATAAGAAACAAATCTTACCTGGTCGTCTTTAAATCCGGTATTGTGATGCTGGATGAATCATTAGACCCCTAGGTTTCAGGTATAGTGCCTAAACCTATAAGAATGAAAGTGGCCATATTAAAACATCCTGGAGGTATCTTCTCATTTTTAGTTGGTAAAAAGCCATAAGTGGACTCTGAGTTTTCAACTGGAAAAGTTATTTGCTTGAATTACTGTGATTATTGTTGCACAGGGCAGTTAAAGAAACATATATAATTTGTTAGATGAAAAACGATCATTCTCTTCTCACTATTAACCGATATTGAAAGTTGAATTTAGAAAATGTTTTCTCTTAAGACTTTGTTTTTCTATTTTCATAGGGTCCGACTTAGTTTTTCTTTCATGCAAAACTTGTAGATAAAAAAAAAAGCGTCCAATTTTATTGCTCAACATCATCTTAACTTCCTTTTTTTAATGTTTCTTTTTCCCTGTTGCCGCCAACGGATTTCTTTGCTCACCCCCACTGATCTTGTACATTAACCTTGCCTGGCGGTGTAAAGTGTGTGTGAGAGTTTCATAATGAGTGACATGGGGATTCCCTGTCCCTCTTTCCTTCATTCATGTGGCTGGAGTCTGAGGTGGTGCAGAACTGTCAACCCGGATATGAGCTGAATATTGAGTGTGTTTAAAAGAGAGAGGAAGAGAAACTATGTGAGAGTGAGCACGCCTGTATGTGTGCATATGTGCATGAGAGAGGACAGGGCACATAGTGAGGGAGTGTGTTTGCATGTTTTATTACTACATTTATTCAAAGAGGTCATTTGTTTTTTGCAATGTTTCTATATAATAGGCACTTTTTTTCGGCATGATTCCCTGTCTAGTAACCTTTGCAGCAAACTTCCTCTTGGGACTTATTTTGCATTCCCGGCTGCTATACTGGATGCTTTGCAGAAGGAAATGATGAAACACAGGCCAGTAAAGTTTTTTGAGATATTAACAGAGGCTGCATTGCATACGTCTCAGTGACAAGATCTCATATTATATACAAAGTATTTCTAAAATAATGAGTGGTAAGACTGATAAGCTGCATAGCATTTTTTTTTTATTCTCTTTATTTGGTATGTAGACAAAGCATTTTAGGCAATTATTAAACTGTGTGAAGCTTCTTAAAACATCTTTAATCTAAAAAAAAAAAGTCAAAAAATGTTTTTGCATTTTCTATTTTACAAACCTTTAAACAATAGTATTGCGTCACAGAAGCCAAATAGCATTTACATGGGAAATAGATATGCTGCCCTGCTGATAAGCTTTCTGAATGAGAGGAGTTATGTGAACAGAACATCCAAAACATTTGGGTTGAAGTTAACTGATGTATATTTTCATAATTTGCTTGTTAATTTCTTTATACTGGAGCTGTTAAAATATCCATTCCTAGTTTCTGTTTCACTCAGGAAGATAATCGATGGTGCACCACCTCCAGCATTCATTTCTCTTGTAAATACTCATCAGCCTCCCTATAAATAATCTGTTAATGCAAGCCTGAGGATGGTTTGGATGAATAAAAAACTGTTTTAAAACATTTTACAGCACTTTAAAAACTTTCTTCTACTATTTCTTGAAGCCAATTAATTTTGATTTATTGCTAATCAAAGTGACATGAGAGGTATTTACTGGAGGTGGGATGTTTTCTGCTTAAAACCTTTTAATAGACCCTCAATTCCAAAATCTTTTTTACCTCAGTATAAAC